AACTTTTTGAGTGGAATGTCAGCCCAATAAGCAGTTGCTATAATGTGTATATTCGAATACCTAAAAACTAAATACAAACAGAACACAAATAATCAATCGCACATTTACGTATAAAGGCATGTCTTCAAAGTGACGCTAAATTCGCTGAAAACGACAGCAGTTTAGGACGTGGAAAGCTAAACTTGATTAAGAAATTGTTTGGCAATGCACCAAAACTGCTTAGAAAATCAATCTGGATGCTTAATGTTAGTGAGTTATTGAGATACTCCGTATATCGAGCAAAGCTGTGTCAAATTCTTCGTGAGCCTCATATTGTTAGTAATCCTTTCATGCAGTTACGTGTAGGCCTACTTACGTAACCTAACAATAAATGTGTGCCTACCCGTATGTTTATGCGCATCTGTATGTTTGTGCTTTAGAAGACAAGAAATAGCAGTGAAGGCAACCAGAGGTGAAAAAAGAAATCTTGGACGCATACCTTAGAAGCTTTTTGAGTCGTTTCAATCATTGCAGTAATGTCGGAGACGAGTTGTGAACCCAGTTCCGATGGTATCTGTTCCGCATCTTCTCTTGTCATTTCCATTGATTTGATTGTTTCTTCAAATGCTTGGCTCACGCTGTCAAAATCGCTTTGTATCTGCAAAAATTTTAACACTTGTATAATTAAAAAATCAAATTTCCTTGTTCGATGCTAATACCATCTGAATAAATAAGCGAATCGTAGAAGGATTTGTTCCGTCAGCCGGGTCAAACCCTAGACCTGCTGCAAAACAGTAGAACACTCCACTTCACCGTACCAGCTAGTGGCTGAGCAAAATTCGGCGTATTTTCGAAAAAATTGACGTGAAGTTGAAAATTGACGTACTGAATCAATCATTTTAAATCCAGAAAGATCGCCCAAAGACTCTTTGACTTTGGACGGAATATGCCGAATCAGTGCCTTTATTTGACCGAACAGTTTTGTTAGAGTATGATTCAGCGTACAGCTTGTACCAGTCACAGCGCTGCTGATCACTTTGGTAACATCTGCAACCAGCTTATTAACCGCACAATTTACTGCACCAGTAGTCAAGCTTATTGCACAGGGAGTCATTAAACTGCAAGTGGATATAGAATATCCTTGCAAAATTTCAGCCTCGCAGGTTATTTTGTGCCCGAAATTGCCACTACTATTATGTTTGACGCACCCTAAGAGAGGGCGAAAGCGCAATTCGAAACTCCATTTGCGTATACGATTTCAAAGGTCGGCAGGAAATATTGTCGCAGAATTATAGCTATTTATAAGCAAAGAAATTTACTGCTACAAAAATAAGTGTGTTGCGTCGCAGGTCAATACAGGCTGCCAACCGGGCAATTTACTACAAAATAGGGAGTCAGTAAAGTTAGCGTTGTATAGGGAGTCAATAAAGTTAGCCAAGCAATTCACAGCAGTTGTAAACAAGTTTATTAGACGGGCAGTCATTAAAGTTTATAAGCTAAGCAATTTGCTATAGCAGAAAGAGGATTTGCTGGATAGGAAGCCATAAAAGCTTATTAGCTGAGCAATTTACTGCGACAATATTCAAGTTTTTTTTTATGAAAGAACTATAATGTCTATTAGCCGATCATTTTACTGCAACAATAATCCAATTTTTCCATCTGGAAAACTTCCAGAGGTAATTCTTTCCGCCTTTTGCTAGAGCTTTTACCGAATACTTGTCGTTGAGAAACTTCTTGGCCATCAAAAAAGTAAAAGGCATGGTCACCAAAAAAATTAAGAAAATTACCGTTGCTAACGTCTTCAATGGATTTATCAATATTGTCCACGTTGCTGACTGTATAGCTAACACTCTCTGAGTACATAATCACAGCCGCGAGAATTACAGCCAATGCAATTACCAGCAAAATTACGAATGTACCGAGCACCACTTTGGACGGGTTCTTCTAAAAATTGCTTATAAAGCAAGTAATCAAAAAAATCAAAATACTTGAATGAACTGTGTTTCATAGCACTGGCGAAATTTCTAGCTGCTTTGACCAGTGCTGAATCGCTTGCCGGTCAGTCAGCTGACATGTTTGTTTTGTCTCCAAAAGAGGTTATCAGTTCAAGCATTCGCTCGATGCTTATAATTAAAATTATTAAGCATATTAGTAGAAATTTAATTGAAGATTTTGAGAAGAGTTATAGACCAAAATTTGAAAGCTCTGTGAAGGAGAAACTACTAATTTCATTTAAAAATTATAACTAAGAAAGTTGAAAGGAATGTCTCGGCCCAAGAATTCGTATACATTCCTTTTCACTACCACAACTGGACCTTGTCAGTGCTTGTAAACCGTGAAAATATGCCATTGAATGCTAGTTATTGATCTTTTCCCGAATAAAAGTGCCACAACATGACCTGGGAGTGGTAACGTCCGGGAATGAGACAGAGCATTCAACAAAAGTAAATAAATCTTTAAGTAGCTAAGGGCTTGTCAAAATGCTTTTAACTGAGCAGTTCTGGAGACGAAAAGAACGCCAGGATCGCAAAAACGTTTAGTATTAGTTAATGCAGAATTAGTCAAAACAACTACGAAATGAAGAAAGAAATTGGCATGGTTATCTACTAAATTAGTGGTGAACTAGTAGCAGTATTACATATTTTTGCATTTTTAACTTAGTTTATATTTCATTCTGCTATTTTTTTTGTCCACTATGTCGTGGGAAATTAACGAAAGCTTGTAAAGGAGAGCATGTCGTAAATTTGTATACTGCCTATGTGAAGCAGACACAAAACAGAAATTACATGTCCCTTAAAAAAGCAGATAGACAGTAGACGATTAGACCATCGTGACCGGTGGTGCAGTGGTTCTGCGCACGTCACGTCCTGATGTGAAAGCGATTGGTTCGATTCTGCTCTGGCGCACACCTAATAGCAAACCCAGGCTGGAACGCACCGGGCGGGCCCGTGCGATCATGCGTTTTTGCACCGGACCTGAAG